CAGCAGGAAAAAACATGAATGTGAGCACAAAACCAAATAAAACTACTAGTTCTTTCTAATCATTAATTAATCTAGCACCGCAGCTTCCACTCAAATGTAAAAGGACTAAGGTTTTATTTTGTCTTGGTAAGAGTAATGCTAAGTATACTAGTATTTCTCTTGCAATCATAGCAAAGAAACAAGCTATTACATTCCTGCAAAATATCTCATCCATGAAATAGCCATTCAAAGAGGGAATGTCAAATAGAAGTATGTTCAAAGGTTACCTGCATGTTAACCTGCACACTTAAAAGTACACAATGATTAGCTGGAAATAAAGGCCTAGTAATCCACTGGTCATCTACTTTTTGACACTTCAGCACTACAACCTGTACTCAAGTGCATCTCAAAACAAAAAAGTGTTTTTTTGACATGCATACACGGCAATCATTACAAAATGCAAAGAATCCCACTTAAACACTCACTTATGCAGAATGCTGGTCCAATTTCTTTTTGACATTGATCACTGTGCAATAGCAGGGGAAACAATAAAAGCATCTATGTAAATCAACTAATATACCAATATAGATGCATTATTTCCTCACTTTTAATCCTATATTTCTACTTAGTGGAGCCTCTTAATGTCAGTTTGCAAACATGAAAAAATGTAACAAGATACTAATTTCCAAGTAATAATGCAAGCTAATTTAATTCTAAAGTACGTACCTGAATTGCTGAGTTCATGAAACATGTATTCCCCAAGTTACTCAGGCCACACAGGCCTGGCTGCTCATTGTGTCTTCCTGGCTCTGAATAATCATAATTCTTATAAGCAGTATATGATGGGAGACAATAGTTTGAATTTTTCACACTGTAAAAAAACAAAACACCTTTCACAATGTAAACATGTACTCTATAATACTTTAATGCATACAAGTACTTTACAAACTTAAAAATTATTAAAAATGTTAAAGTAACTTCTGTGAACAAGGAAGGATTTTAAAGAACATGTAACTTCTGCAATAACATTAATTTCAATTTAAAAGTCACCTCTGCAAACAACCAACATCTAATGTACTGCAGTAACTGTAATTATTATATCCCTACCGCTTTTTGATAGGAGCAGCTTCACAGCTTACTCCATTCTTCATTGCTCCATCAAATTTAATACACTCAGACTTTAGACACCACCAGCAGCAATCAATCATTTACGTCCCTTTTGCATCCTGCTACTGCAAGAGAGTGAGGTCGGTGGGAATGGGAATGCAGAGTTACAGGTGAAAGCTGAGATTTCCAAGGCCACTGTGGCATAGCTGCCTCACTGCATCAGACAGTCTATTTATAGCTTCCCTGCTAGGACAGCACAATCCAGCATGCAAATGCAGGAAAGCCTTGAGAGGTAAAAGAATGCGCAAAATGCCCTGTAACAACTTCCTTATAAATCTCTATGATGCATCTGTTTGGAGAAACTGGAGAAGACTGAAATAGGTAAAATGGTAAGATTTAAGGCAATTTGTTTCCAGATGAAATCATGCAGATACTAAATATGGAATAAACCTCAAAACAGTAAACGAAGCATATCCGAGAACACCAGAAAATCAAAAGAATGTCCTAAGAGGATGCTCTGTAATACTACAGATGTTAGAAAAAACAACCAACCAAAAACGTTAAGCTCTTTCATGAACTATTTCAGGCACTGATCATAATGACATCTGCGTGATAATAGCTTTGGCTGAAGGTCAAGAGTATTTCTGCAGTCACTAAGCATTATTTACATTTGAAGCAACTGAAACAAAAATTTGAAAGTAATTTGCTAAGAATTACAAGGAAAACTATGCAGAGCAAAGAATAAATCCTGATAAATGAGATTTTTATAAAAGTCTCAGGATGCAAGTGACCAGTGGTGCACTCCAACCATTATTCCTGACCAGTAGCACACTCTTTATATCCAACTGATTTACAACTGTCCCCTTGTTGCACAATTACTCACTTCTCATGAATAACAGTTGTTTTATTTCAATCAAAAACATTTCAAGCAGAAGTGGAAGAAATTATTTTCCTTTTTTGATGGCCTCAGAAATCTGTGTAGTTTATAGCTCCACTGTCCTTAAAGCTGATTTTCTCAAACTTTTACACCTGATATTTCTTCCTAATAGCTGACTTTCCTATCAATCCTTCCCTTTTTCATATACTTGCATTTTCTCTGCTCTCTGGCTTTCCCCCAGACTAGCTAGGTGGCATTGTGTTTACTGGTCATTCTCCAGGAAAAATCCCTGCAAAGTTAGTTTTGCCCTTTCAGCTTAGTCCTAATTTAAATGCTTCACTCTAGTTTACACAAGATACTTTTTGAACTCTAAGGCCCACATAACCTTCAAGTTTGCTTCTGTGGTTGGCCTTTGTTGCCATTAGTCCCTGGTTCACCCATGCATGAGAGATCCCCAGGGAAAATCACCTTCCATCTCCCTTTGCAGCTCCAGTCCAGCTTCTGCAATCAACCCCAATTCCCTTTAAGTCAGCAAGTCTTAGTTCCCACAGGAAGAGAAAGCACAAGCTTGCCACTGGTGCTAATGCAACCTTCACAATGTAATCAAGCCTCCAATCCAGCTCAACAGTGCACATGCACTAACAGAAATCACAGAATCATAGAATGGTTTGGGTTGGAAGGGACCCTAAAGATCATCTAGGGCACACATACAGGGTACACAACTAAGCTTCGACTTCCAGCTCTGCATATTCCTAACTGCTTTCCTCACCTGACTGTAAGAGTACACTTTCCACATGGTTAACAGTAATCTCTTTTGGAAATTTAGGAGATGTAAGGGTAATAAACAGACCGAATATGATTTTCCTGGGGATTTTCATTCCCCTTCTTTTTCCTTCTCTGCAGCTTTTCCCCCTTCATGGCCTGCCACCTTAGAAGGGACACTTGAAAGCTAGGAAATGCAATTAGTGTCTTTTGGCTCTAATGCATTCATGTGACTGACCTCCTCAAATCAGCCAAGTAACATAATGATAATTTAATTCAAGATAATTTTAATGCTGATAGATCCCGAATGCTTGTTTGCGCTAAGGGACAAATTGTCAGAGTCTACTTTTCAAAAGGGAAAGCCATTTCTGAACTCTTCCATCTTCTGTACTGGCCCACAGAACTACATTTGAGGGTTTTATAGAATAGTTACCACACTTGTTCCATGAGTCAGGTCTATGAATGTATTTTTCTTTCACATTTCTGTGATACTTTGTCAAAATGTATCAAGCAAAATACAGTGCTTGCTATGTGCAGTAGACTAGGAGATGTCTCTTTACAGCTTTATGAGTCTGCAAACTTAACTTTTTTCTGGAATAATTATTATTTAAATTACATTATGTCTCTGCTTTTCATGCTTTTGATATTTGCAGAAAAAATAATGTATCATAAACTGTTAGTTGTAAATGGCTAACAATGATAAGCAAGTAAAGATGCAAGACAAGTCTACATAAGCTTCATTCAAACAGAAATGCCTAAGAAAAAGTAACTTGTGACAGCTTGTCCCCATCCACTTTTCCTGCAAAACCCTTAGAAAGTTGCCTTTGATGAAGGACCAAAGTAAGGTAAAGCAGAAGGATAGTATTAGAATGGGCCAGTCAAGTAAGGGCAATACAGAAAGAAAAAACTGCTGGCTCTTAGAAGAAACAGATGCTAAAAAATAAGACTAGACTTGAAAAAATGAAACCATCTTCAGACCCCTGAACAGCTAGACAGAGTTCCTGAAGTAGTGAAAATGGAAAAGGGAGGTTTCTGAATGAGACTTTATTATCTGTAAATCTTAAAATTTTGAGTTACACGTGCCATATTTGAAATTACTTATATGTACTGTCTGTATCCTGCCTTTAAAGCTCGAAGGAGCTTTCAGATGATGATGAACTCAGACCACTCATTGTGTAGCAACAGTTCTGGGAAGAATGCATTTGGAGCAGAGATGTTCGGAAAAGCACCACTAGCTTTGGAAAGGACATAGTTTGACAGTGGACTGCCATATACCAACAACAAGTGCTGCAAAAGGAATCTGAGTTGCAAAAATGAGACCAGAAAATTATAAGCTTGGAACACTTACTGAGCTCTGAAATATTTCAACCACTTTAATGCACGGTCGATGTGTTTAAGTGACCAGCCACTTAAACAAGGGTAACAACCCATAATTGGGTTCCATCAATTTTTAGAGATGCCTGAAGCAGCAGGAAAGGCTCAAGTCACTACACAAAGACAACAATCTTCGTTATTGTTTGTGCTTGCTGTCTGGAGAGCAAAATATAACATTATAATCTACTTAAATAAAAAAATATTAATTCTTGTATGTTTGCCAATGTGCCAGGTGCAACATGAAGGAAGTGTTTCTACAGGTGATGTAATTAAGATATACACTTCTTGAAATAAACATATTGAAATATACCAAGCTTGTGAACAAAGCTGCCAGCTGTCTGACACGATTGAATGATGAAACAAGTCATTTAGGAGCCTGAAACATTGGTTACAAATGAAGAAAACAAAACAGCTTTTCACTTAATTCTCAAAGCAAAATCCCTGTTCAACTGTTTTTAATTCCCTCCCCACATAATTTAAAAAATACCATGTGACATGCAATGTATTGCTATATTACAGCAATAAACAGAAATTTCAGTAAGACCTAAATGATGTGTGTCTCTCCCTGCTCTTCTGAATCCACTAACACATATTATGCTAATCCTCCTATGTTATTCTTTCAACACGATCACCTGTAAAGGCAAAAGAACACCAACGATCAATTATTTGGACTCCTCCGTTCCATCAAATGCAAACTCACATTTACAGAAATGAAGGCTTTGGACCTGAGAAAGTTTGCACAAGCTACTTCTATTATCTAACACATGACTAGCTCAACATATGACTAAATATTTACTAATTTGAGGGCTACTTCCTGGATCAGACAAGCATTACAGAATGTGTGCCATATAGAGAAACATGATGCTTTTCAGACTTTCAATACAATTTGTTGTGCTCTATAGCTGAGATTTAATAACTGCAAAAACTTGGTTGCAATGAACAGCATTTATGACTGCTACTACATAAACCTGTAGTTTGCTTTTTTGGCCTTACAAGTCAACTTTGTCAGCTAAATTTATCTTAAAAACAAATGTCAGTATTTCTTTTAGACTCACAGGGTCTCATATGCATATGGAGGTGCCACAAATGTAGAATTTTGCTATTATACTAAAGATATTGTGCAATAGAGAGAATTAAGAAGAAACATGACAATATTCCCAGAAAGATGACATTAAGTAGTTGTTTAAGAAATTAATGAAAAGAAGATAGAATTAATTAATGGGAAAGGACTGCTTGCTTAGATAAGAAGATACTTGTGAGAAGACTAAAATACAGGTAGAAACTGATCTAACTGATCTTAACGATGTAATAGAATTGAATACAGAGATGTATCTTTTATCTTCCTTTTTGAAGCAAAAAATTCTTAATGCAACAGTATGTACTTTCAAGTACATGGTGTATTTATGGATATGACTTCTCTGTAACTAAACTAGTTCTTGTTGAACACACATTCTGACAGAAGTGCTGGTAAAGATTCACCTGTATTATATGTTTTAGTGAATAATAAATTTGTGATTTTTTTAAACATTTATTTTACACTCATAATTGGAGTACTGCATTATAAGGACAACCATCTACCTCTGCACTGAATGTCTGCCTGACATAACATCCAGATGGATAGTGTTTTAAGTTACAAGAGAAAAATGACTCATGATTCATAACACTAAAGAGAACACGTACCTACTATCTGATTTACAGATGCTTAAGTTACAGTTAGGACACTTCAAAGGACCAATTTCTTATCATATCTGAATTTCATATCACTTCCTTTTAAACATGTATTTTTGTTGAAAGTTCTCAAATTCAAAAACCAAACAAAACCCCTCAAAATTTTACCTTAAAGCTCCCATTTTGGCTCCAAAATAAACCAAGAAATAAAAAAATCAGCTAAAGCAAGTGAAGAAACTCTCCTTAAAAGCTGCAAGAGATAGCAACTGGTTTCACAAGTGCTTCCTAAAAATAACTACAGCATCACTAGGGAGAAGCTAACATTAAAAAAAGAAAATTAAAAAATAAAAAAGAAGAAAGCTGTGCTGGCTTGATTTAAAATGGTGGCTCCCTAGGAAAAAGTAACTGCTTAGCTTTGATTCTGGTGTTATAACTGTCTTTTGCATAAGCAATTGGGGAAGGAGAGATTAGTTCTCAGCTGGAGGCTCAGCTCTGGTCAAGTAATTTTTCATGCAATCATAGTTACAATATACTTCTTATTTACTACACTTTCGCACACAGAGTACAATAGACTGCAGTTAAATACCTGGATTTCAACTGTTTAACAGTGAGAGATGGGGCTACTCACAATTGGTAGAAGCACCCCTTAGGAAAAATCACTTCTGATAAATGCAGTATTTAACTGGAAGATATTGTATAAGATACTTAATATTTATGTCACCTTTTTAATATTTAACATCTTCATGTTTGATCACCCAATGCATGTTGGGAAAATATTTTAAATTTGAATCAATTGTAAAAATAAGCCTCTTCAACTTCCCCCAGCTTGCATTAAAGATGAGTGCTCTCTGGTTTCAAGCATTTGAAAGATGCTCCGTTATCTTTTAAAGTGAAATATTCCATGTTTTTCTATATTCCTCAACTTTTTTACAGTTGTGTACAACAAAAAAAGATTACATACAAAGTTGTTCACTGGAATATGAAAGGTCTTCTTGTAGAGTTTTATCACATCCTTTATTAAACTTCTGACTCGGAATATAAAGGAGAAAACCTTTGAAAGCAAGAAGCCTTTTACTAAACCTTTGTCTATTGTAATATTCAAGCACAACTATCTGATCTCTCTCAAATCTTCTATCACTAAGACACAGAAATTAAGTTACTGATAAATAACCAATGACTATAATCCCTATGATAACCATAATAGCTAAAGCTGCAGTGGACTCAAATCAATGTCTGGTATCACCTTAGCATCATTAAATGGGGAAACCCAACCACCATAAATATAGGTAGCTTGTACTATTTTTGCTGTCCATCTAAATTCAGGTAGGATAGCAATAATAACAACAGTGAATTTTTAGCACCTTAAACTCTAAATGAAGTCTTTATGTATTTTCTTACAACGCTCAAAATCCTTTTTAGTGTCTGTGTGACTGAGGACTTGGAGAGTTACCAAACATCTTTAACTGTGTTTCATTTAATGTTACCATGCTTTACAATACCTACACTATGAAAGAGTAACCAGTAACAATTCACAATCCCAATATTGCAAAACAAATAAAAATCCTTCAGCTAGGAGTTAGAAAACATCAATTTTTTTTGGTGCCACACTGGGGCAATAAAATTAAATAATGTTTTAAGGTATATTGCTTACTTTCTGTTGTTCATGTTGTTATAATTATTTGATAGAGATGGAGAGATCTTTGGTAAAGTTGAAAAATTTGATGCACCTGGGGACCTTAAAAAATATGAGAATGATAAATTAGATAAAAATGCTAAGATATTAAAAACCATGAAAGAAAGCTAACAAATGAGCAATGCATATAAACAAGCATGGAAAAGAAATATTTTTTTTTTTAAAGTGGGTAAAATACGAAAATTACCCAGGACACACAGCCCTCAGAATCCATCTTTTAAAACTTGAAATGCTTCACAGTACTTTTAACTTTCATATAATGTTGAAGAAACAGAGCTATTGAAACCAAAAATCAAACAAGCAAAACAAAAAAAAAAATCGCAGGCCACTGTGCTAGAAAAATTGTTTTCAGTGTATAGTATAACTACAGATATTTTGATGGTCTAAAATGCAGAATGTAAAGTTTCCAACATGGAAATTGTATTAATTTTTCGTTTAACCACAAATGGATGTTGAGACAAGATACATACTTCAAGGTTAGTTTAATACCAGCATGAAAAAACATGTAAATAAAACTGTTTTATTAATATTGTTAAAGAAATTCCAAGACACTACGCACAATACTAAATGACCTTTAAAAACCTTTTGCCAACAGAATTATCACTCATCTGCATTATTCAGGACTATTTTAAAAAATACTAATAACTTTAAACACAAACACCCTCTAAATGCAGCAATTAAATACAATGATCAACTATATGGCAGAGCATTTTTTTTTTCTAATAAAATCTTAGAAACAACCATGAAAAAGCTCTGAATTCTCAAAAGCATTTAGGCACTATGTTTTTGTGGGCCCTCTGAAATTCCAAGTGATTTGCAAAAACCTCCAGCTGTCATTGGAAAGCTTTTAAATACATATCACATGCAATATTAAGAGAAGAAATTCTGCATGCTCAGGATTTTTTAGGCACCTTTCAAGAACTAAGCTCTGCAAGGAGATAAACATTTTTACCTAGGGAATTTTCCCAGGTATATTTTCACATTTATTTTCAATTTTTCATTAATAAACTCTTTTCAAAAAGAAAAGATATATCAGCATGCAAAGAAAACATTTAATTTTTTAAGTATTCTGACCATCAATCCTAAAGCTTTCCTGCAGATTTTCTTTATCAATCTAAATCCTCTTCTTTGAACATTATGTCCAAAGAATTGAAACACACAGACTGTGTCAACAAGAAAGCTATAAAATTGAAGTCAATTTAACCCTACCCAAATTCAAGACAAAAGGTAAATTATGTGCATTTGTATATCATTATTTTAGAATAAGCCACTTGAACTGAGTAATTTTGAACCAAAACTGAACTTCTCAAAACAATTTTGAATTACAGAATTATAGAATGATTTGGTCTGGAAGGGATTCTAGAGATCGTCTACGTACAACCCCCATGCATGGCCAGGGACACCTCCCACTAGACCACATTGCTCAAAGCCCCATCAAACCTGGCCTTCAACACTTCCAGGTAGGGGGCATCCACAACTTCCCCAGGCAACCTGTCCCAGAAAAGTTTATATATAATTTAAACCAAATTCAAACGCAGTACAGCTTTAAATTTAAAAACGCAATGCATAATTGTCTAAAAAGTTAAAAGAAACCAGAACTAGCTACATAAATAAAAGTCTGGTTTCCACCAAAAAGTAAAAAAAAAATTAATCTGTTTCTTCACAAAAAGGACAATCAGTAGTTTTACTCTTTGATAGCATTTGCTGTTGTGGCAGATGCAAGCTTTTGGTGTGGTGGAGATAAAGAAACTGCATGTGCCACCCTAGGTGCTTGTGTGATTCAGGTGCAGGACCATTCTGGAATGTTAGAATCAGAAGTAAATTGTTCAGTCAGCATCTGCTGATGGAGATCATGCTGACATATGCATAAAAGCCCCCCAGTGCTTCCCAAACCCTAACATTAATTGTGGGAGCAGACCAGCAAAGATTAGGTTGGGAACACTTGGGAAGAGCCTGATGAAAACAGTTCTAAAGAAATGGAGGAACTGGAGGAAAAGGAAGTGCAACCTATTACTAAGAGAGAGAGGCATGCAGGACTGCCTGGTGGGAACTCCCAAATCCCCTGTCCATGCCACCCTCTGGTTGGGACCTTAGCCCAGGGAACTCCAAGTTGTTTTCGTGCAAGCCAGGTGAAACAGAAACTCACTATTTGTGGAGAGCCTCTTTAACAGTGTGAGTGAGGGATCCGATACTACTGAGTGATGATGAGGCAATTGGGTTTTGGGGTCTGACAGCACTTCCCAGTGATGGGCCAGCAGGCAACCAGTCCATCACATCCTGACTGCTTGCTGATCTAGGGTTGTGGACCTCAAAGAGGGAGGGGAGCCTGTTACTATCAAGGTAAAAGGGCTGTGGGAGCTGGTGGAAGGAGTGCCAAAGGTTGCATGTATCCAGGCCACATACAAGAGGCAGCAGCACCAGGTACAGACTGAAGCCCTGGTGGGACCCCTGCCACCTTAGGCTGTTGACTGGAGAGCTACCAGACACATTCAAGATAGATATCCAGGCTCTCAGAGAAAGGATTCAGAGAGCTACAGAATGTAACCGGCAAAACCCTGACAATCCTCCTGCATACGTGATGACTGGAGCAGAGACATCACACAATGCAGTCAGTCATGGGTGCAAGGTGGGGTGGGCAGAGCCAGGCAGTGGCACAGATAGGAACAGGAGTGTACAAGCCAGTTCCAAACCTCACTCAGACCAGCCTTTTCCAGGAGTCTGAACCTTGCCAGGGTATGCTGGATTGAATGCCCATGCTGGGAAGGAACTACCTTTGGCAAAATGCACTAAGTGCAGGGGACACTGCAGGCAGTGCTGCACAGGCAATCCACCAACTACACCCAGAATCCAGTGGAATTACCAGAGGGGGAGTGAGGCCCAGCAGAGAAGCAGGCAGGGAGGCTGCTTCAGTCAGGTGGGCCGGAGCACAGCCCCTGCCAGCAGCCAGCTGCACCATGGCTGCAGCCGAGGCTAATTTAAAATTGCTCACATGGGCTGCCATCCTCTGTTGCTTGATATGGAATGGATTAGCTCAGCAAGATAGAAAGGGAAATACACTGAAATGTGATGTATTAGCAGGCAGGCGGTGGTACCTGCCCAATGACTGAGGGGGGATTTAGGAGCCGTGGGATGGAAGTCACTTTTATGGGAACCTACAGGTTGCTCCTGCACTACTGCAATCTAAAGTAATCAGCGCTTCTTAGAGATATATTTTACTAGGAGTAGAGGTGGTGTTGGGACTGACTACAGCTACGGCTGCTAGCACTGCCACCAGGGAACAAACGGCGGGAGTGTTGTACAAGTGGTTCAGTGTTATACCCACCCCCGTAAGTATTCCGTGACGACAGACCACAATTTATGGCCACAGTGATGCAGGATTGGGCCTGAGAAGAAGGCATTCAATGGGTGTTTCATATACCATATTATCATAGAATCGTTTTCGTTGGAAAAGACCCATGTGATCATGGAGTCCAAACATTAATTTAACACATTGCCAAATCCACCACTAAATTATGTCCTGAAGAACCATATATACACATCTTTTAAATACCTCCAGTGATGGTGACTCAACTACTTCCCTGGGCAGCCTGTTCCACTGCCTGACAACTGTTTCAGTAATGAAATTTTTCCTAAGAACTAATCTAAACCTCCCCTGGCACAAGTAATTTCCTCTTCTCCTATCACTTATTTTGGGAGAAGAGACCAACCACCATCTTGCTACAACCTCCTTTCAGAGAGTTGTGGATAGCAATAAGGTCTCCCCTCAGCCTCCTTTTATCCAGGCTAAACAACCCCAGCTCCCTCAGCTGCTCCTTTTAAGACTTGTTCTCTAGACTCTTCACCACCTTTGTTCCCTTTGGACATGATATAGCACCTCAATGTCCTTCTTGTACTGAGGACCCTAGAACTGAATGAAGTAGTACAGGTGCAGCCTCACCAGGGCCTCACCTCAGGCTAACCCACAGTATAGTCAAACAAACCAACGATTTGATTAAAAGATATGCTGATGTCTTGCACTATGACTGGGACATGCAGTTACCGCAAGCAGTCTTAGTTGTTATCAGCTGTGAAAGTTATGAAAAACCCCAAATTCAAGTCTTGTCCCACAAGATAACTGACCCTATACCAGACAATAAAAGGAACCAGTTCCCACTGCAGACATATATGGGACAACCTCTAATGCTGAAATTGCCCTCCACTGGCATTGTGCCTATGACCCTGGCAAAAGCCAGAGGCTTATATGCCTGGAAAGCCCTGGACAGGAGTGGAAAAACCCACCGTATTAGTGCTTGGTGGATAATCCCTGACTTCTAATCCCAAAGCTTGTTTTCTAACCATAGGCCAGCTCTGTGTTTTCTTACAGGACAATGGAAAAGCAGAGTGCCTTGGTGCTCCTGCTGGCAATGGTGACAAGCAGGACTTTGACAACACACGGTGTCAAAAATGGTAGCAGGATTCACCCAAATGGTGAACTTACCATTTTTCCTACCCACTGATTATGTCACAGGGTGGGGACTAGAACAGCATTACCATGGGAACTAGCAAATATAGGGCTGCGGTGGAACACTAATACTGTAAGCAATTGAAGGAGAAAGGTGTGGAAAAATTAAACCTGTTCACAGACAAATGCTGCTCCCAATAAGAAAGTGGCAAAACACTCAGAAGCGACTGTTGCTGTACTGGGAACTAATTATTTTGGGAGAAGAGACCAACCACCATCTTGCTACAACCTCCTTTCAGAGAGTTGTGGATAGCAATAAGGTCTCCCCTCAGCCTCCTTTTATCCAGGCTAAACAACCCCAGATCCCTCAGCTGCTCCTTTTAAGACTTGTTCTCTAGACTCTTCACCACCTTTGTTCCCTTTGGACATGATATAGCACCTCAATGTCCTTCTTGTACTGAGGACCCTAGAACTGAATGAAGTAGTACAGGTGCAGCCTCACCAGGGCCTCACCTCAGGCTAACCCACAGTATAGTCAAACAAACCAACGATTTGATTAAAAGATATGCTGATGTCTTGCACTATGACTGGGACATGCAGT